ATCGTATTTCTGGGCAGGTAAGTGGTTCAGGAATGAGCGCTGAAGCCCAATGTAGGACTTTTGTTGAGCCACTGGGGAAGCAGTCTCTCTGGCTCCTTCCCAGTAGACTTGAACCTGAGAGGATGTAGGGCTGAAGTGACTGCAGGCATCAAGTCACCACATGGATCCTGTGAATCAAGTCAGCATGGTCAGGAGAGCACAAGTTGTCTCTCAGTAATTTACTTTAAAAATGTTTTGGCATGAAGAGTGTATTGTGTGTATAGATAGCTTCTGTGTTCATCCTAGGGCTTACTAGCTGGCATTTGAAGTACTCTCATCAGAAATCCAGCCTCCACAGGAAGTTGCTTAAGCCCTTTATATAATTTTTCAGTGAAATGAGTAATGTGGAAGACAAGTAGGTGGCTAGAAAGACTATGCTCTCCTCTCTTTCCTTTGCATAAAGAGAACACAGAAATCCTGCCAGCCTGATGGACCAGTCCTTGAAGACAGCTCTTGGAGTCTGCACTTCTCTGGTCCTGCACTTCTCTGGTCCCTTTCCCAGAGAATGACATTGTGGGCTCCCCTCAGAGTGCATCTTTCAAAGTGCTCGTTGGAGAACCTCAGACAGAGTGGAGCATTACAAAGCTTACAAGAAGAGGTTCTAGAGGAGAGGAAAAATAATTTTCCTTCTACCCTTCTGAGTTCTTGGCTGAGACCTCTGTAATAAATGACATATTAACAAGAGAAAAACAAACAGAAATTTATTAACATGTATCCCTCATGTGCACACGGGAGATACCCAGGAAAAACTGAGTAGCTTCCCAAGGTGGTTTAGAATTCAGGCTTAAATACCATCTTAATAGAGAAAGAGGAGGGGGGATTTACTTTTGGGGGAGAGTAAATGATTTTTAGGCAAGATGAATGGGCACTTAGCATAGATGGGAGGTATGACATTTTGTGACAAAGTTTGTCTGAGTGTGGTGTTGATGTCTAGTCTCCTGTGACAGAGTCAATCTCCCCTGGTGGATGAAACATTGGGGAGGGGGTTTATGACAACTGAGTTCCTTTTGGAGGATCTGTCTTTAGGCAGATAAGGGGCGTTCAGAGAAAGCCTCTCCCTGCATTTGCTGTTTTCAAGTGCCTACAGCTCAAAATAAATTAACCAAAGTGGCATATTTTGGGGGCATGTCCTGAACTCCTGCAACCTTATTTTGGGGTGGCATATTCTGCTACACTTCAGTCCCATGAGCTTTGTGTGTGTGTCTGTTTGCTAAGTATGTTTTTATACATTCGTCAGGTTTGGGTCCAAGATTTGCTTTCATCATTATACACTCCCTGACAGCAAGGGGGTGGTGCAGAGTCCCATTTATCTCTTAAAGCTGGTGGAGCTGATATTCACCATAAGAACCCACACTTGTGGAATGACCAAATTGCCCACAGGGCTGAACTGAGAGAGGGAGGAAAATAACACTGACGACATTCATCAAGCCCTGAATTCAACTGCAGCCCATGGACTTTTTCAATTACTGGAGGCAGTACTTTCCCTTTGGCTTAAGCCTCTTTTTTTTTTTTCGGTGAGGAAGATTGGCTCTGAGCTAAGATCTGTTGCCAATCTTCCTTTTTTTGCTTGAGGAAGATGGTCCCTGAGATAACACCTGTGCCAATCTTCTTCCACTTTGTATATGGGATGCCACCACAGCATGGCTTGATGAGCAGTGTGCAGGTCTGCGCCCGGGATCCGAACCTGTGAACCCTGGGTCGCTGAAGTGGAGCGGGCGAACTTAACCACTATGCCACCTGGCTGGCCCCGGGCCTTTTTTTCTTAACAGCTGTGAAAGAGAGTCATAACTGATCAGCTCTTCCTAATACTACATATAAGGCTATAACAATGTGGAAAAACAAAGTAACACCCATAACCTCTGGTTTTTGTCATTCCTGCAAAAACAGAAACGTAATAGACGTGCAAACTGTTTAATTCACTCCACTTTATTTGGGGATCTATATTACAGAAAACACAACTCACAAACATACCAGTGGACACTGAAAACTAAGGCCATTCTGTGAGTTATTTTTAAAACTTGGTGTTTCGTATATAATGATCTTTTAAAAAATAAATTACCAAAACCAAGATTCTCTTCTGAATTTAAGGTAGGTACAAGACAACGTTAGAGCCATATCTAATCTGAAGCTCGTCATGTGACAAGACCATTTCCGTTTCCACAGCATAAGTTACGGCTCTAAGGCAACCGCCCTCAGCATCAAGCTCTCTTCTCCAGGTGCCATCATAAAGCAGTGTTCACCACAGTGACCAGTGTTTATAAACCACTTTCCTCCCAATGAGTAGCAAAAAAGAGAATTTTACCTAAGAAACACATTGCAGAATTCTTGGAACAAGAAAAAGAAAGGGAACCATAACTAAGGCACTGAAAGCACATTATTTATATAAAGAAATGTAAACAATTTAATACCACAGGCTCCCTCCAGTAGAGTCTCTATTATAAAAGTGCACAAGGGCATCGTGGTTGGGCCAGAGCTTGAGTCCAGATGAAATGGGCATGTCTTCCTTTCTGCAGAATTCAGCCTTGGCTACCAGGCACGATTTCTGACGTGGGACTGCGGAAGTAACTAACTTCAAAGTGACTCAAGAGCAAGCTGGTATTTCCCCCCAATCTGTGTTTTAATATAAGAAACAAGCAAGGATTTTATGAGGAGTTGTAAATTACGGGCTCTGTCTCACATTTATTTTTCTTTTAGTCTTTCACCACGTTCTTCTATGGAATTGCACAATTATGTGGCTTGTTCATCAAGGATGCCTGGGGAAGAACTTGTGGCACAGTCAGTGCCTTTCCTGGGAGGTGCATATGTTAGTATAATGGTTCACGTCCCATATAAACCACGTGTGCTTTACTTACATTTCCCAATGGTAAGGATTTAACAATTGGAGATACAGCACTGTAAACATCTCAAAGCCCATTGAGTTTACCTTCAAAGGACCGCGAGGGTGTCGAGTAAGAGGGTGTCTAGATGCAGCGAGACAAGCAGCTGCTCTGAGCCCAGAGGGATGAAGCTGGAAGGTGTGGAGGGGATCACTCCTGACGCCAGCACAATACTGAAGCTAAATGAATTTCTACTTGACATTTTGTTATCAATCTTAGACAGCTCTAAGTTCCAAATCATGTATATTTCTTTAAAAGTTTTTGAAATAAGAAAAAGATAAATGTGTAGCAAAACACAATTATAATTTTAAAGAAGTCTTATTGCAATAAAACCAAAAAACTTCTTTTTTGAAGTCATCATTTCTTATTCTTAAGGCAAGTACAATGTCTATATTCCTCAGTTTTAGTGCTTATGAATTTTGGGAAGGTAAAAAGAGTTTGCATTTTATCTTAAACATGTGTTTTATGATCAAAAGAAAACATTTTTTAAAAAAGAAAACAGGTTTCCCCTCTTCCCGGTTTCAGCGAGTTAAACAGGACATCCCATTAAATGGAAGTTAGACCTGGAACAAGGAGCCGGGAGAAGCTGGAGGAAGGGCAGAGGGGCTACCTTAGAAACACCTGTGGGGCAGAAAACACAGCTTTTCTCTTTTACCCAGGACAAATGCAATCCTGATTGTTAAACTATTTCTGTGTTTCCAAATATAACCAAAGGAAGTCTGAGAGAAACCTAAATTAGAAACCTCTTTTATTAAGGAAAAAAAAAAGTAAAAAAAAAAAAACCTTAAAAACCACAGTTAGCTGGGTTTGGAGCAGATGTGCATAATAACTAATTAGTAGCTCCTGGCACGATTAAAACCAGCCTTGAGGGAGCAGTTAAATATCGGTTGGTGCATTTCAATAGAGGCGCTAGTTAGTACTCTTCCAATAAAAATGATGTGTCAACAGTGTTCTGCCACAACCAGTACTTTCTGAAAGAATCTGCTCGGTGAGTTCAGTTCACGATGTGCTTACCTTTCATGGCAATGCACGTTTCAATTATTGGCTAAAAGTCACTGTTGAGCAAAACTGAGATGTAATTAAGGAGAAGGCATTCATGCCAAACGAGTCCATAAAGCAATAAACAGCTTTTGAGGCTGGTTCAAGGCAAGAGAAAAGCTGACAGGTTTGCTCAAGACTTTTAACTGCCTCATATTTTCTGCTGCTCTGACCGGCATCCCCATCACATGACAAAAACAGTAGTGCACAGCCCCAGTAGAGAGGAAACAAGGACCACACAGTCCTTTCGCCTCAGACGGTGATGGGTGCTGTTGGTTTCCTAGATTTTCCATTGAATCCAAATGACAGGAATATTTAGGCCAACAATTGGTCAAAAGTGGGTTTAAATTTCACTACTGAAAGAGGAAGACTGGGACTACAAAAGAGAGAGATCCCTTGCTATCATTAAAAAAGATTCATTTTTGTGTTTTCATTTTGGTTTTAAGAGTAAAATCTGTCAAGGTTACAAGGGATGACTAATTTAGGATAAACCATTACTACCCTGTCTGCAAATGCTGTTGCTGTTGTTTTAATGGCAGAAGTTAGATTCCCATACACATGTAGAAAATATAATAACCTTCCTTTTTGGGGCAGGTTTTAAAGAAATATTTCAAAAGACACAACTTCAAAAGAGAGTTTCTGACTGCAATAACAGAACATTCATCTATGCTTTCCTTTAAAAGTGACTTGATGTATATCATTTTTAACACAAATAAGCTACACCTGCCAACAAGCTGTAACGAAACCAACGCTAAGCATGCAAGATTAAGTAGAAGCGAGGAACTAAACCGTACTAATTCCCATCTTTAAAAATTCAAATTAGGGGCCTGCCAGGTGGCTTAGCGGTTCGTGCGCTAGGCTTCAGCAGCCCAGGTTTCGCAGGTTTGGATGCCGGGCGAGGACCTATGCACTGCTTGTCAAGCCATGCTGTGGTGGCGTCCCATATAAAGTAGAAGAAGATGGGCACGGATGTTAGCCCAGGGCCAATCTTCCTTAGCAAAAAGAGGAGGACTGGCATTGGGTGTTAGCTCAGGGCTAATCTTCCTCATCAAGAAAAAAAAAAAATTTTCAAATTAAAGTTTCTAAGTGGAGAGCCTGTGGTTGCTCCCTGAGACATGTTCAGGTCTTATTTTCCACATGAAAAAAGGGCACAGGTGGTCTTCAGACGTCTAGGTCAGCATGAGGCTAAATGCCAAGATTTTATGAATAATGAAGGGCTTCTCATCAAAATGTTTGGTCAGTTTAAGGACAAGGGATGTCTGCTTTCTGGTCTTAAGGAAGGATTCGATGGTTTGATTGGCACAGAAAGGAGTGTGGGGACAGTGCCGAGGGACGGAGCCAGAAGGAAGGGCCCTCACCTCAGACTCAAGTGCCAGCACTTGATCTGGGCCAGCGCTCATGAGCCCCACGTCTGTCTCCTGCCCGGGGAGTCTGTTAGGAAACAGAATTGGGCCTTTAAGAAAATCTTGTGTGTACCTCGTCTGTGAACAGCCTGATGATTGTGTAGTAATCTTCTGGCCTGAGTTATTTCATAGCAATCATTCCCTGCTACGTGTATTGAAATTACATTCAGAGATTTAAAAAAAAAACTGTGTGTAGCAATATCTTTCCACAAAACTAAGTGCAAAATATCCTTAACAAGTAATGATGGTAGTAAGAAATATTTGACAGTCATGCAAAAAACGCATCTCAGTTTACAAAGGCTTAGAACACTTCCAAAATATCCCCTAGGTTTTTATACCACGAAACTTATAACCTTACCCATTTTTCTTTGCATTTAAATGTGGCTGTTTGTGTAAAAAACGGTAACATGCAAGTTCGATGATCTCCAGTCCACCAAATATTCTCTCTTGCAGCACGAAGATGACAATGGTGATTATAAAATACCACCGAACAAGACTGTACAAATATATGAGTAGGCACATTGCAGGGCTGAACAGGGTCCAATAGAGTATCGAGAGCAACTTGACCACAAGGACCCTGAGCTCAGACTTGCAAGGTGGAATTACAGTCTGTCCAGTAAAGTAAAAATTCTTCTCCCCTTGGTAGAAAGAGCGCAGCCTCTCTTCTTTTTCCTCCCACCGCTTGTGGCACCAGAGCTGGAGGTCCTCCTTGGACGTGGGGAGGGTGTCTATGGGGTATCGGTGGACGTGGAAGTGGATCTCCTTGGGAAAGTCCCCATAGACGAGGTGCCTCTCTGTCTGAGGAATGTTGTGAGGGTATGCCACTGTGATGTCATGGACAGCATCAAGGTTCTTACCTAGGTTTTGGAAAAGATAAAAATACAGATTGAGTAAGGATCAATTTGGGCAGCAATGCTGATTCACACTGCAAGGCAGAACCAAAAACAGGAAGAAATCAGGACAGAGTGAACCCTGGGGGACAAACAGGGCTATAAATACTGGTGTTCCTGGGCACTTGGGTCAATATTTACCAGTCATTTTTAGTTTTTTATCTGCTTGCTAATTACCTTAAAGACCTCTAGAAAGAAATTATCTTCATTCGTAGAAACAGTAATCTGCCATTCTAGAACTAAGTGGACAGGCACATTAAGTTGGATTTGAGACAAGAATAAAAGAGCAGAAGATTAGCCCTTCTACACCAACGGGATTTGCTGCTTTGATACCTCCTTTTAATACACCCTTTTCTCCAAAGAAAAACACAAACTTTCTCACCTTTAACCCAATATTACCACGACAGCTACTGAAAAGAAAAACTCAGAATCAGATTTCATCAAGTGGTCAGAAACACACAACTTCCACATGAGTTTTTATTTTTAAAAACAAGTCAACTTCAAGTCCGAGTAAGATCCTGACCAGACAGTATACCATCACCCTTAGCAATCTCATGATTAACTACTTTGGGGTTAAGTGTTTTCAGCGAAGTCATTTGCCAGATGCTGGAGAGAGAGATGCATAAAACATGGTCCCTAACCTCACTGAAGAGTTCACAACAGACTCAGGGAGACAGGCATGCGTGGTGCCCTAAATAAACTAGACAGGCTTATGGAAGAGGGTAGGTGAGGGGGCTGGCTTGGCAGGTGGAGTGGTGGCAGAGAACGTCCGGCAGGGAGCACAATGGGGCTGAGAACACTAAAAGTAGGCTGAGGCATACGGGATAGGCCCTCATTGTCAAACTTGAGAGTCTGAACTCAGTTCTGCAGGTGGTAGAGAAACACCTTAAATGGTGGAGAACACTTAAGGGTTCTTAAACAGAGAAGGGACCAGAATATGTTACATTTTAGTGAGGATTACCTTGGAGGCAGTGACAAGAATGGTTTGGAGAGGACCAGGGCAAGAGAGGTAGAAAGAGTAATTTGATGGTCATTACAAGGAAGGAAAGGCAAGAAATGAGGGGGGGGTAGGAGCCAAAGGAAGTGACATGTCCAAAAAATTTACAAGGAATAAGTGATGTGACACAGCAGTCAACAGATGTAGGAGGACAGGGTGGAATGAGCCCAGGTTTGTTTCTGGCTCAGGGTACTTGAATAAATGGTGGGACCTCTGAGATTAGAAATGTAAATGGAGTGTTAGATCTTCAAGGAATCAAAAGAATCACCTAATCGAACCCTGTATACAAGGCCCAGAGAGGTTAAATTTTTTGCCCAAAGGCGCACAGCGTGTTGGTGCATACTCTCTGAACGCTGCTTTCTTCCATACCATGCTACTCTTACCTTCAGTAAGAGACTTTCGATGTGGACTTTGATGTGTTACAGACCTACATGATGCAGGCAGAATTAATCTGTGGTGACAGAAATCAGAAGTGGTGGCCTATGCGGGTGGAACTGATGGGGAGGGAGCATGAGGAAATTTTCTGGGTGGCAGGAAACATTCTATGTCTTCATTAGGGTGTGGATTACATCAAATTGTACACTTAAGACCTGTGCATTTCATTCTATTTAAATTTTACTTCAATATTAACTTCCCCACCTTATCTCACCAGGTTTACCCTTTCTACTGAACCTGTTAGGTTGTATGTTTTTTTTTTTTTTCGTGAGGAAGATTAGCCCTGAGCTAACATCTGTTGCCAATCCTCCTCTTTTTGCTGAGGAAGACTAGCCCTGGGCTAACATCCGTGCCCATCTTCCACCACTTTACATGTGGGATGCCGCCACAGTGTGGCTTGACAAGCAGTTCGCTGGTCCGTGCCCAGGATCCGAACCTGCACAACCCAGGCTGCTGAGGCAGAGCGTGCGAACTTAACCACTACGCCATTGGGCCGGCCCCTACTTATTTTTTTTTTGATGATTCTTTCAGTCTTCTGTAAATGTTTACCGTCAGTCTCCTTTACTCTGTGATATACTTCAGAGTAAGGATCAGGTTTCAATTTGGTTTCATAACTGTCTTATAATTAGCCCTTAATAAGAGCTATGTTACAAAAAATGAAAATACCTACATCAACGAGACTTAGATTCAAAATTGGAGGGACAGTCTTTTAGGGATGCTGTACACTGTTTACATGAGAGTAGAGCAGGTGCAAGGAAAGGCTCGTGGAAGAAGGCTCCAGTGAAGCTGGATCTGAAAGCCTAGAAGAAAGACTAGGCCAGACCTGTTTGGCTCCAGAGGAAAGAAGTGGGTCCAGTGGTTAGAAGCCCCAGGGAAAAGCTTTCTAATAGAGCTGTCAAGAGGGCACGTATTCACCATTTGAGAAAAGGCTGGCTGGCCACTTGCCTGGTATGTTATAGCAGGAATTCACACACCGGAGACTGGGCCTCTGATCAAGCATCCAAACAGAGACCTGCTCTTTCACTGGCACCCTGAGCATGACACATCAACTACGACGGGGATATAAGGTCTTCCCGTTAACTTGCCCACATTAAAAATCAAGCAACTTTGGGGCCGGCCCCGTGGCATAGCGGTTAAGTGCTCGAGCTCCGCTGCTGGCAGCCCGGGTTCAGATCCCGGGCGCGCACCGACGCTCCGCTTGTCTGGCCATGCTGAGGCGGCATCGCACATACAGCAACTAGAAGGATGTGCAACTATGACATACAACTATCTACTGGGGCTTTGGGGAGAAAAAAACGAGGATTGGCAATAGATGTTAGCTCAGGGCCGGTCTTCCTCAGCAAAAAGAGGAGGATTGGCATGGATGTTAGCTCAGGGCTGATCTTCCTCACAAAAAAAAAAAAAAAAATCAAGCAACCTTTTGTCTATTAGCATTAATCACGACTATCCTGTTCCAGGACAGTGAACTTTCCCTTGACTCTACATGCTAGTTCAGTACTTCAGTGCATCTTCTACCCGCAGACCTCAGAGCCCATTCAGTTATGCCCAGCCACCACAACCACAATCCTCGTTCTAGTTGCCTTACCTCAACTCCATCTACCCTCTTCCCACTTTCTCTCACAATGGAGGAAACGAGCTGTCTTCACATTTTGTCACTTGTCATGCCACTTAGCTTCTGACTCAGAACAGAGTCCACATTTCATTTACTTTCAAAACTCCTCTGCAAACAACATTTCTGCTTCTACCTTCTGCCCAGACCCTTCTCCTTCGTCAAGGTTACTGGTCTCATCAGCCTCTCTTGTTCACAGCCCTGGACAGTCTCCTTCCCCAGGCAGCTCCCACCATCTCCCTACTCAGTCATTCGCCACCACTTCTCACAGCTCATCTTCAAGAGCTGCTCATATGGCCCAGCCTTTCTTCTACAGGTGGTTCTTAATGCTGACTGAGCAAATACAGTCATGTATTATTACAAATTGGTATCAAAATGGTATACTAGTAAGTTACTTACTATACTAATAAGAAACTAAACTGCCCCTTGCTTTCTGTTTTCTTCTTGACAACCTGTAGGGTAAGGGGTGTGTGTGTGTCTGTGTGTGTGTCTGTTCAGTATATAAATAGCAAAGTTTGAGACAGTGATGGTATCACTTACAGAAATGTTCCTAAGTGAAAAAGTCTAGATTCACTGCAGTGCAGAGCATGGAGGGCTGTGGAAGCAGATTGCCTGGGTTCAAATCCTAGCTTTGCCTCTTATTAACTGAGTAAATTACTTAATCTCTCTGTGACGGACTTAGTTCCTATATCTACAAACTACCTCACAGGGTTGTTGTGAGGATTAAATGGGATAATAGATGTAAAAACACATAAAACAGGATCTAATACTTAGTAAGTGCTCAATAAATGCTAGCTGCTGTTATTATTATTGAATCATAATGTTGTCATGTTGGGCTCTAACCTGTCTCTCTAACTTGAGCTTCTATTATCAGTCCACTCATGCCAGCATGGTATTTGTGGGGAAAATACCACATTCAACACTGGCCAGGGCACTATTTGCCTGGGCCCCAAAGACACCAATTATGGGCTTTGTGTCTTCTACTCAAGACAAATGTTCAAACTATTGTTTCACAAAACTGCCGAGACATTCCCTCTGCCTCAAATACACAGCTTCTTTCCCTGAAATATTTTATCTCAACTCTCTTCAAAGTCCAGCTCAAATCCTAACGGTTCTGAGAAGAGCTTTCTTCATGTGTCTGGGCCCAGAGTGGTTTTGCCCTCTCTGAATGCTTCCGGCACAGGCACTGATGTGCTCATTTGGGCACTCACCTGCCATCCTGTACCAAATTACCAGATGCTCACCGAAACCCACAGTCTCCAAGGGAACCACAAGTACCTTAAGGGCGGGACCATGCCTTTGCCTCTTTAGAACCTTAGTACCTACCATAACGTCCTGCACTTAAAGAGGTTCCAGAAATGCTTATTTGACCAATATTTTGGTCAAATGGTCTACTATCTTCTCATCTAAAAATGCAGCAGGGAATTATAATGTCTTCTACATGAGGTTGTTATAACAATTTAGTGAACTAATGCACATAAAGCTCTTTGCGTAGTGCTGGACACACAGCAAGTTCTTAAATGTTAGCATCTACTACAACTTCTGTATTCAGTTAATGAGACTGACTTGCTCCACTGGAACTTTTTCAACGTGGGTTCTATGAACTCTTGGTCTCAAATGAATTACAACAGTCTTGGGTGGGGTGGTGGGGTGTCACCTTACCAAAAGGCAATATTCCAAAAGTTTCTAATAAATTGCTTGTTTGGAATTTTGAACTTTGGAATGGTATAACTCAACATAATTAAAATACTATCTATTTACATTATAAACAAGAGCAACATTGTAATGTTAGGAACTATGAAAGACAATAAAGTGGACAAGGGAGAAGAAAGACAGCTCATACCTTGTCATCACTTCCCTGAGTGGCGCTGGATCCTTAAGCATCACAGAGACCCAGAAATGTATTAATGCCAGAGTGACAGAGGA